GGAAATTGACAGCCCAATCGGGCGTTGGGGCATCAATTTCCCGTTTCCCAGCTATAGAGGTCCAATAAGGTCATTACTTACTACTCGGGCAAATTACCCTGGTTACAAATGTCCTGATTAATTTATAATTAACAATGTTTGGGGTAATTTAACCACGGCTGGTTCAATTGATTATGCACTACTGTGGCTAAGTTATCCAGGATTTCACCAGTCTCCTGAATTCAGTCTCCTGAATTCAGTCTCCTGAATCTTATAGCTGCGTCAACATTTTCCTTTTTTAGTAAAAGGCACAAGAAATTATGTAGGTCAAATCATTATTCTATTTTTATGATTTGTTTAATCGTGCTTTAAACGTGTTTATTTTTAATAATAATTTCCTGCAATATTTTAATTGGAATATTGCAAAAGTCACTATATATTTGTATGCCTGTTCAAACAAACCCGTTCTGGAATAATCATTCGGAATTGCTTATATTTAGCTTTTTATGTAATTTTGATGTATGTTTTTCAACTATATGTCTATGATATAATAACCATATGAAATCCAAAAAAAAACTTATCTGAAATATAAGTTGAGGTCAGCCAACGAGCTCTCTATATAACTGGAGTACTAAGTCAGCCAATAGTCATGGACAAAATGAAGATTTTCAAGATGGCGGCTGTGTTTCAAGGTCGTTCAGAGGTTCAGACACAAAATAATCAACAATCAAGCACTTATAACAATCTTAAACCTTACCCTAACATTAAAGCCCCACACAGACAAATAATTTTTTTTGACACGTTTTGTTTTTCTTGTGTGTAAGGCGAAAAATTGACGAACAAGGCTCCTTGCCTTGGCAAGAAAAAGTCCAAAACTAGTCATGCCAGCTTTTGGACAAGGAAAATTTGTTTGTGTGTATGGCCTCCTAGGAAAACTTGACAAGTGTACAAAAAATACTTCTGTGGTTTTGGCAAACAAAAGGCGGTCTTGGTGTGAGATGAATGTTTAACAACATTCCTTGCACAGAAGCAACAAAACTTGTCAAAGGAATCTTTGTCAAGGAAACCTTTGTTGACCGTACACACGAGAAGGTATATCAAGGAACACTTGCTCGTTTGTTTGGGCTGAACCGTAGATATCTTATATACACTAGATAGCGCATCTCTTTTATTAAAATTGAAGCCAAGAATATTCCAGCGGTTACCCCCATTTGAATAGATGGCGGCCATGTTGGTCGTTCCCACTTGCTAATAAACGCGTAAAAATGCAACAATAACTTTCATCATTTGAATACTTTAAAAACGTATTTGGAATAGGGTTAACTTAATGTTTAAGTTCCCTGTTTAAGAAATAGAAAACATACGCACCTTCTCATTTCATGGGAACGACCTGAGATTGCCGCAATCACGGCTTCAATTTTTGAATTGCAGAATAATTAGATGCACTGTCTAGTGTATATAAGATATCTATGGGCTGAACCCTAAACTTAAAGCTAACTCTGAGTTTAAACTATTTTGCCCAGCTGTAGAGGTCCAGTAAGGTCATTACTTACTACTCGTGCAAATTACACTGGTTAAAAATGTCTTGATTAATCTAAAATTAACACTGTTCTTAAATTAACACTGTAATTTTGAACCATTTTGAACTTTTTGTTATATCCTTGTTGCCACCAGGGGCTTTTTAAGAAAGTGCCTCGCGGAAGAAATTTTATAATCCAGTTATATTCGCAGAAGGTAACTGGCGGTAAATCTTGTCGCACCCGCTGGCTTGTTTTGAAAACCCTGTGCCACCCAATCCAGATTTTCAGATGGCTTGTCAGCCGCTATCTGGAAGTCTCAGTAGTCTGTGATTAGCTAATGAGTACCAGCTCAGGTTTATAGTTGGTAATTGGTTGGGGACAGGAGTAAAAATTGACCTTAACTTTAACGATCAATCATCAATTACAGTTAAAGTATATTGTGTTTATTCAAAAAGCAAGGTGTAAAAATATTTATAAGTCTGTACATACAACAATGTGTGGTCATTAACTTTCAATTAACTTTGTTTTAACAGAACTCGTTATAGAAAATGTAACAATAGCGTTGTGTACGCACATGAAAGGACCAATAAGATTGGAGAACGTTGCGAGGGGTTGGTTAACGTATAAATACAACCTCCGAGGGGTTGTAGAGTCAAGTTCCTTGGAGCGTTCACGAAATCGTATTTTGAAACATTTGAGAAGGTTGGTCAACGTTGTACAACGATGAAATATTTTGCAATTGCTGTGATCTTTGGCTTGTTTGCCATCTCCCAGGCAATGCCTGTTGAGGAAGACAGCAGGTTAGAATTAACACTTGTAGTGATTCTGTCATGTATACTTTTGGGGGGAAGAAGTCGAAGCGGGACGACCTCGCCCATTTGTGTGCGACGAAACCGTCTCTACATAAAATCGTAGCTCATTAAACCTCTGGTTTCGGTGAATTAAACATCCTAGCCTGTGTAATTGATATATTAGCCCTTTGTGAGAGAGGCTCCCCACTAAACTGTCGACAAGATCAAATTTGAGTTGTGCCCTTTGCAATTCAGCTCTTGGCTCCCCCTTCCACCCTTACCTGCATAACGTGAGATTGGTATTTTAATTCCAATTTTTTTCGCACCTCTGACGATATATTTAATTTCAGGGAAAAAAGATTCAACCCGTTCTTGTTCGGTGCTCTCAAATTGGCCCAAGGCGCATGTAGTGGCATCACAAATTCTGGCCAACGTACGTAAGATTAAACTTAAAAATAAATTGTTCAGGAATTTTGTGTTTTCAAATCAGGGTGCGATAATTTAAAAATTTTAGTCGTGTCTGACTGGTACTCCAATTGTTATTTTTGCGTTATTGAGCTGGTACAAAATAAAACTCATAAAACATGGCCAACTTAGGAAATGTTCATTTATAATATTTTTGTTTGTGGAAACACAACGTAAATTTATTACTGCAAAGCTTTCGATCCGTAAGCCAGGATCTTCATCAGTGCTAATAATATGTGTTTTCCATAGGTATTTGGTGTTTCCACAAACAAAAAGTATTCTATGTTTCATCGCCATGCAATCTCACAAAGAACTTATGTTCATTTATGTTTTATTATACTATAATTAGTATGGATATACTATAGATTTACAGTATAGTGATGCAATTAGCCTTTTCCCAAAAGAGATCACAGTGCATTCTGGGATCGTTTGGAGGGACAAAATATATGGTGACTAGCGTCAAATATGTGAAAGAGTAGAAGTATCTTCTATCAAATATCAACTTTTTAGACGACCAAAAATGAAATATCTCCTTTTTATACATTAAACTTTTAATTTAAATGTGTGCTGCCATATTTCGTGTCCCTCCAACACTGGATTTGCGCGACTAGACCCAGGACTTTGGGAAATGGCTAATTGCAAATTTCAAAGTATGGATTTCATTATTTTTTTCCAGTGAGAAACAGTGCAATCTCCGCCACAATTTTACTATAGTTTGCGCAGGGCTTTACAATTTATGTGATTTATTTATTTTATGGATATAATTTTCAGCTGTCGACCCCTTGATCGGGAGAGCATGCACTTGCCTGAATGCTGCTGGTGGTCTTCTCGGGGATGAAAGGTAAAGACTCGTTGCGCGATTTTTGGAAGACTGAGGCAGATAACACAAACCGAGGCCTTATTAATTAATCGTACCATAGGCAGCCCAATGTTAGGGTTGCCTGCCTGCGCGCGGGCGAGGCATTGTATAGTTGTATTATTTCTTAAGGTAAGCAAGTGCAATTAAACTAACGAACAAACAAACAAACAAACAAACAAACAAACAAACAAACAAACAATCCAAAATACTTCAAATATGTTTACATCTACGCTAAAATAATCACGGAAATAAAATCTACGATACTTTTACTAAATACTAACAATATTTTAACGTACAAAACAAATTTGTAATGCGAGAAAAATACGAAAAGTTTTTGCATTTTTTTTCAATTTCTGAATTAAACCGTCAAAATGACAGCCAATGAGATTGGAAATTCGTCATTTGAAACGCCATCAAAAACGTCGAGGGCGAGTCCAGCATCGTCTCATTCAGAAATTGAAAAAAAAAATGCAAAAACTTTTCGTATTTTTCTCGCATTGCAGGTTTGTTTTGTACGTTAACATATTGTTAGTATATAGTAAAAGTATCGTAGATTTTATTTCCGTGATTATTTTAGCGTAGATGTAAAGATATTTGAAGTATTTTGGATTGCTTGAAGGTATATGTATCGTTAGTTTGATCATAGGCAGCCCAAAAATGCGTGTTGAAATTTTTACCCTCGCGCGTGGCGCTCGGACATGCATCGAGTCTACTCAGTTTATTATTATGACTAATAAACTGAGTAGACTCGATGCATGCCCGAGCGCCAGGCGCGAGGGTAAAAATTTCAACACGCATTTTTGGGCTGCCTATGGTTTGATTGTATTTGCCTACCTTAGGAAATAATACAACTATACAATGTTTTTCAATATACCACGAAATTACAAAAACGTGTCATGACTCCAAATTTGGGTACCGAGCGGATATGATGATTTCACTGACAGCTCTTAGCCAATCAAAACTCTTGAATTATTTTCAATGAATACTAAACAATTTTAGACTTTACCTAGCCTGCGAACAGGCTCTCAAGCTGAATTGAGAGCCTGCATCGATGACTAATGAATTTGAATATCTGCGTCTCAAATCGTGACGCGAAATTCTCATTGGTCAGATGCTATAATTTATATTATTCGGCTGAGCTCTATATATGTCAACTGCTAGCACTATGCATAAAAAAAACACATTAACTGATCAAATTGATCTTGGCCATCTTTCCAATTATCTCAAAGGACGAAATGTTCTGTTTTGAGAAAACAGTATTTAAAACATTTAAACTTTTGCTTCAATATCTTATATTTCGAAAAACAGTATAAACTGTACGGTCTAAATTTAGTTTGCATGGTCTAAATTTAGTTTGCACGAAAGTTGTAAACAACACCATATAAGGATAGACATTCCATATTTGGAAAAACGAACGTTACGGGGCAGATATTCAAATTCATTAGTCATCGATGCAGGCTCTCAATTCAGCTTGAGAGCCTGTTCGCAGGCTAGACTTTACCAGGAGCAGCTACGAAAAATGCAACTGCAGAGTAGTATAGGTCCTCTGGCAGGAATCGAATTTGCGGCCCTACGATTCCGGTGCAGCGCTAATTGTTAGCAGTCAGGCATTGTTACAGGGGACATTTCAAGCTCTAGATTAACAAAATAAAGTTTTGACGAGTGTTCCAACTATGGTTTAACTTAAATAGAATACGTGATAGTGTTGGGAAAGCATTAAGAACAGCTAACCAGACTCTCATCCTCGTTTCATCTCCGCCTTATATAGTGGACCTGTAATTGTTTTGCTAATTTTATTTGCAGCATGTCGTCGGAAGATAAACGTTTCCTCTTTGGTGGTGGTTTCAACCTAAATGTTGCGATTGGACAAGTGATGAACATCGTGAAAAATGTTTGCGGCAGTGCTCCTCCACGTATGAAAGAGACATACAAGCTTAATAACTATTCATTAAGAAAATTTAAAAAAAAATATTTAACTGATGAGGTCTTGTATCCAAATATACAAAATTTTCCCGAATTGCAAAAACTTAGCCTGTGCACATCCTGTACAGGGTAATACAGGATGTGCACAGGCTAGCAAAAACTTAGTACCTCGATTTTCTCAGTTCAAATCACAACTGTTGAAATCCTTAAAAGTTATATACATCAATTTTCAACCTCTCCCCCTTCGGCTTGAGTTTGTATATCTGATACACTACACTGCCTCTAGATACTGTATATATATATATATATATTACATAAAGTTCGTCAGGTATCAAACCACCTGATTTCCGTTGTGTTTGGATGCTCATGAATTTTTAATTTGTTTTTTAAGAATTCGCCGACTTGTGCCAGTGCATCACAGGGTAATTCTGCGATCAACTAGTTTGTAGAAGGTATGTTAAAGTTTTGTCAATAAAACAGTGAATATTTTAAACGTTTTAGGCGAGACTTTTTTTATTTATTGGTTTACGGATTTGACTTCAAAAATAAGAGGTCGGTAGGTCGGAAAAAAATTTAAAAAAAAACGAACTGAGTATAAACGAGAACCGAAATTAATAATCTTTATAAATTTTTTTAACGTCAATTTAAAAAAAAACCCGCAAAAACCGTGGCTAATCTACATATTGATTGTCACAACGATAACATGAGCCAGCAGTACGTAGAGTCAAAGTTCACTTGAAGTGTACTTCATGTCAGAACCCCAAATTAATTAAAATTAACTCTAAAATTGTAAAATTTTTGACATCCAAATTTTTTTTTTATTTTTCACTTTCTGAATATTTACGGTCGGCGGCTCCGTAAACCAATGAATAAAAAAAGTCTCGCCTTACAGTGGCGGGCCAAAGCCAAGATTAGGGCCCGGTGCGGGCTCCCCATGCAGAGTAAGATTTAGGTCCTGTTTCCTTCCCTCCCCCACAGTATACATGTTAAAATATGCCTTGCAGTAAAATACTTAATCAATAACCGGTTATAAAACTTGTAAAGTAAAGTAACACATTAAAGCTGCTTTAAAGTGATATTTGTCTTAAATTTAGATGGACTCAGGAAAAATGGAATTAACGAACTTTAAAGTAGATGATGAACAATTAGTAAATCAAATACTGTGATTGTATGAATGATTTAAACTCAATAAAACGCATTTAAAAATCATTAAACTCTTACAGATAAATTTGAGATGTACTGACTGTAGTAAAACCTTAAACGATCGGCAGTGACACAATGCAGTTTAGGGCATGCGTGCATGCAGTGTCTTTCATCTCGACAGCAGAGTTCGATTGCTTGCGATTCGCAGTGTTCCGGCAGATTATAATTTTGCCTCTGTTGCAGTTTGACTGTATATAGCATACTGCAAACACCACATTCTACGGCTCCTTTGGTTGTCTCATTATTAAGCCAATAAGCGATGGCTCTAACAGAGGACCTCTTCGGAGAACAGTTTAGAACTGGTAGAGCTATCCAACATGAAAAAAATTAGTTTAGAATTTAGATCAGATTTATTCCTGTAGAGAGAGTGGTCCTTACTGGTCCTCTTGGAAGAACAGTTCAAAAACGATAGAGCTATCGACTGGCAATAAAGCTATAGTTGAAGTCAGCTCAGTATAGTAGCCTGAGTATCAGGTTCTATAGCTCTGCAGTAATATAAAATAATATTCCGGGTGTTTCCTAATCATTTAAGGGCATGCGTGGTTAACCAACTTAAACCCTATATCTCGGTTGCTTGGTAAATGTTATGATCACTAGACACTCACAATATTCCCTACTCATGCTGATCAACTCCGCTACTACCAAATATGAAACATTTTTAAATCCACATTCACGTATTGGTTGGTTGTTGGGCTTTTGTGAAAACATTGATATGTTTGTTTTATAGAATCGCCTCGCAATTGACCAACTGCCATATTTGTTGCATCATTGCAATTTACTTACAAGCAATATATAAAGCCATTAGGAACAATATTGTTGAGTCTCTCGGTTATACTCGGTCTTTTCGACTTCGTGGCGCATAGAGGGGCCGAAACAATTGTACAATCAGGAACGGAAACAATTAACGGGAATCTTAAAGGTTGATTGTGTTCTTTGTACAAAGATGTTTTTAAAGGTCCTTGTCGTTTGTGCGTTTCTCTCGGTGTCTGAAGCGGTCTACCTCCGACATGGCGGGCACGGACATGGACATGGACATGGACATGGCAATAATTATCCAAGACATAAAACTGTTATCATGAGACCCGCTCCAAGAAGACAGAAGTATAAGTAAGTGCAGTTTTCTTGATCTTCAGTTGAATTTTGAAACTCAATATTCTATACAGCTATAGACTAAATTTTGATCTCAGCGAGAATGAGTTTGGTTGCGAAATGTTGTAAAATGATGAAAATATAGCCCTGCGAAATTTGCAAATTTTGTATTAATTTGTATTACACGCGGGAAAATGCACCACATTTGGGCCGAAAGTGGTGCATTTTCCCGTGCGTAATACAGCATTTCGCAACCAAACTTTGCAATTTTACTAATTTTAACGTGCTCTTTCTAGCTGTGGTGATGGATTTTGTTCCTCTTGCCGAGATCAAAATTTAGTCTGGAGCTGGACTGTCACCATCTGGTTGTTTCTGTTAAATTTGTGACGTGGAAATAATTTCTCCCATTAGAAACACATGACAAATTAATTAACATACTGCAATGAACGGTTGCTGGTTACAACAGCAAGCATTTGGAGGAATAGTTTAGGAATATTAACTCCAAAATCAAATCAATTTTCGGATGTTCTAAAGCCATGTAAAGGTTAAAATCGTGAAGTTTCTGGGGACTCCACCCCTGGTCCCCCTGGCGACCACCCTGCCCTGCCTCCCCCCCCCGTGGGAAGACTTCAGCTGTAAAAGCTCGGTAGAGTAAGCTAATTCTCTGCGAAAATGTACCCCGTAAAAATCCTGAAAACACCCTGAAAATTTTCAAATGTGCGTTGTCAAACCTTCGACGAAACAACATCGTTTTCAAATCTTTTCTCAAAAATGTTTATTGTGCCCCCAGCTGGGGCCGGTTTTTCAAAGGTGGGTTAGCGCTAACCCTGGGTTAAAATTTAACCTGCTGTTTTAGTTTGAGTATTTCTGCACGTCTGTTTATTTCAACTGACTTCAGAGAAGTAAACTCCTATCGATCCAGACAAGATCTCTGAAGAAATATTTCCAAATTTATAGACAAGCTGTCAGGAAATTTGCTTTGAATTTTAGGTTAACCTAGGGTTAAACTAACCCAGCTTTGAAAAACCGACCCCTGGGCTTCAAATCGTCTGCAGGTTAGACGAAGTAAATATATTCGTCTGATACGATAAAGATTTTAACTCATTACTACATTAATATGCAATCCTTGTCTTCATAAATGAAATCGTCTGGCATTTGGAATTCATGAAATTGCAAAGTTAGGTGCATTAGGCTCACGTATTTGGGCTTGCTGGGTTGATCATTTCCATGAATTCTTATTTTGCAGCGAAGAAGAAATGGAGGCATTTTTAGAAAGACAAAGAGATCAATTGTTTGAACTTGGGAAACGAATTGACGCAAGGGCTGCAACTATTTGCAGATGGAATTACGCGACGCGTAAGTGTAAACATGCGCCTTTCAACAACAGAATATAGTAACTTTTCAAAAAAACTCCCTCATCAATAATGCCCTGCTGAGGGAAAATAGATTTTGCCACTATCCATTCAAAATAGTTGTGGCCAAAGTTTACCACAAAGGACCTGTATTTTGAACTGTTTGTTGCTAGATAGTTTTCACACACAAATATACCTTACTTCGTAGCCTAGTAACGTATGAAACACAAATTTAATATCTCAACTGCATGTGAAATATATTTCCCAGTGTTTGGAAAAATATATATTGCAAACGCACACTAGAGAACATCGAGAGAAACCATCCTTTCGTTTTATTTCTTCCCTGTTTTTCCCGAGAATCTCAATGTTTCCCGAGTGCTTCCCGAGAATCTCAATGTTTCCCGAGGGCTTCCCATTTATTTATCAAATATAAGTTTATTGGACTGTCAGTATCATGCATAATGGTCAGCCAATGCGTCTTTCCATTACACAAGTGTGAAGGACTCTATATATTAAATTCCATTCCTCTATAGTTTAAATTTTGGTCTCAAAGATAGCAAGGGATACAGTAATAGGTTTGAAATGAAAATGTTGTCATAGGAATGGTGTAGATTTGCTTATGTGATGCACAGAGCTCAAATAGCGGGCTATTATATTTGATTTCATTTGCTTACCACAACTCATATATACTAGATCATTTAGTTGACTAAATACGTTTATATATTTGAAATGTAGTAGAATAGACAAGTTTTATGTTATGAAAACATTGATTTTTACAATATGACTCATATGAGACATCGCCATTTTGGCAATTCAATGAATAATATTCAATTTATTTCACCTGCCAATGGCATGCAGACCATATTTTTCTCTATACTTCGAGCCCTGGGGCTGCAACAGCAATACAGTTGTGAAAATGATGTCCTTTTGTCATATCGTACTTTTAGTTAGTGTAGCGTTTTCGCCGAATCACTGGACCAGTAATTAGAGATGTCCTTTCTCGATCCACAATAATTTAGAACTGATTTTCAGGCGTACCAGTATATATAAAAGTAGTTTACTGTGGCTTAGATTGTAAACTGCAAACGACAAATATCTAGGATACTTGATATTAACGAGTGTCTGCCTTTCATTTAGTCACTGACCCGCAGAAGAGATCGTGCAGTTGCCTTGCTGTTTTTAGTTTCTTGAACGAAGGCAGTGATGGTACGTATATACCGTTGAAAAATTCTGTAACTGAGGTCATAGTCAGGTCTTGACTTGCACTGTAGACACAACTTAAAGCCCGAACTTCTCTCTCAATGAACTATAATGATTCACGCTTTTTAAATATCAACAAGAGGCAATTATCCGTCCCGTCATCGCGTACTCGCCTTAGCTCTACTCCTATCCACCAAGTTTCTGCAAAACATCTTCTTTCCGAAAAGCCTGCCCGACGATATAAAATCCTCTCTCTGTTCAATCAACTAAACTCAATGTCGATGTTATAAGACCAAGGACTTGGAAAACATATTGTTCTGACTAAGTGTCGGTCTTGCTTTTTAAATTGTTGTTCCTAAAAGTACATTTTGGCGAATATGTACAAATATAACGAAGTGTAATCTGTGAATTTGTTAGTTCAAATAGTGTTGTAATGTAGCATGTGAGGCAGGACTTAATTTTGGACTTTATTTAGTGAGCTTTCAATTTTATTAGTTGTAAACATATACCAACCTTTCTTGTTCCAGGAGATCCATTCTTAATGGCCTATTCAATGTAAGTAAGTTTTGGACGTTGATGCCACAGAGAGTCTCTACTTTATACACACGGAAGAATCGCACATCTTGTAGCAAGTCTGCCAACAAGCCGTCAACATGTTGTGTTCGCACTGCTTGTCCCAAGTTGTCAACAAGTTTGGAACAAGCAGTTAACAACTTGTAGCAAGCTTGTTGATATTATCAGAGTTGTTGCAAGGTTGTTCCAACAAGTCCTATTCAGTCATGATATAACAATATTGTTACAACCTTGTGTCGTCAACCTTGTAACACTCTTGTTATATCATGACTGTATCAGACTTGTTAGAACAACCTTGTAACAAGTCTGATACTGCCATCAAGCTTGTCAAAAGTTGTCAACAGCTTGTTCCAAACTTGTTACAACAAACTGGGAACAAGCAGTGCGAACAAAACTTGTCGACAGCTTGTGAACAGATTTGTAGCAACGTTTTATTGCGTGTGTACATCTGCTACACGCGTAAAAACGCACAACAATTTGTTATACAAGTGTGTTCACAAGCTGTCAACAAGTTGTCTTCGCACTGCTTGTTTCCAGTTTGTTGTAACAAGCTGCAAAGAAGCTGTTAACAATTTGTAACAAGCTTGATGGCATTATCAGCCTTGTTACAAGACTGTGCTAACCGGTTTGTTACCATGATATAACAAGGATGTTATAAGGTTGTCAACACAAGGTTGTAACAAACTTGTTATATCAAGCATGTAACGGACTTGTCAGAACAACTTTGCAACTAGTCTGATAACTTCGACAAGGTTGTTACAAGTTGTTCCAAACCTGTTGACAACTTGTGACAAGCAGTGCGAATACATCTTGTTGACGGCTTGTTGGCTGACTTGTTACAAGATGTGAGAATTTTACGTGTGTACAAGGACTCCATTCCTCCTTCCACTGTAGTAGTTCCGTGACATGAGTCATAAGGTAGCTGGGTGCCAGAAGCACTCTTAGAAAGCCTTCGACTCCTTCAGGTTCAGCTGCGTTCTTCGCAACACACGCTTCCGGAAAGCCTCGTTTTTGTGAAACATTTGTTCAGGGACATTCTTTTAAGTTACATTTGGAACTGGAATTTGGTAAAAGAAAATGACTGGCATATGTGGTTTAGGTCGGGAAATGTTATCTACACCCCTTCCCCCCTTCAGGATCCCCTCTATTTGCCTACACACGTAAAAACGTACAAGTTGTTACAGGTCTGCAAACAAGTTGTTATAAATCTGTTCACAAGCTGTCGACAAGTTGTGTTCGCACTGCTTGTTCCCAGTTGTTGTAACAAGTTTGGAACAAGCTATTAACAACTTGTAACAAGCTTGATGACTTTATCAGACTTGTTACAAGGTTGTTCTAACAAGTCTGATACAGTCTTGATATAACAAGAATGTTACAAGGTTGCCGACACAAGGTTGTAACAATATTGTTATATCATGACTGTATCGGACTTGTTGGAACAACCTTGCAACAAGTCTGATAATATCAACAAGGTTGTTACAAGTTGTTAACAGCTTGTTCCAAACTTGTTGACAACTTGGGACAAGCAGTGCGAACACAACTTGTTGGCAGACTTGCTACAAGATGTGAGATTTTTGCGTGTGTGTAGTCAGTTTAATTAACAACATCGTCTATTTTCTTCAGATTCACGAGTGTTTGGCACCAATTTAGCCAGAGTGGAGGACCCGGCGCTGCGTGTAGCACAAGAAATCCAAACAGTATGTTTTCCATAAAAATCCTTCAACACTTAATATGCAGCCTTATGATAATTTATAATTTTGTCTTTTTCAGGTCCCCGCCAGTTACACGATATATGCCTCTGCATGACTGGACAGTCGCTCATCTAAGCCTTTCTATGTGATTTAATGCGTTTGTGAACCTTGCCTCAATGTAGAGCAGCAATATATTACAATGTATTAAAATTAAGGTGCTACGGCTCGCAATCAATACAGCCGCGATACGTGCTTTATACTTTATGATACAAACATTGAATTTTTATATGTAAACTAAAGTTAACATAAACTAAATAATGTATAAAACTCTGTTTTATATGTAAACTATTATTGATCTATCTCAGTTGAAACATTGAAGTCTTTAAAATGCTTCGGTGAACTGTTTCCAGTTTGTTTGCGCAGGATCAGGGATTGAAACAGAGTCAAGTTCTTAACTCTTTGATTTTTGTGTGTTCAGTTATTCGGCCATGTTATCCTTGATCTTCTTCGCCATTTTTCCGCTACCGAAGCTCTTCGCACTCTAGAGTCTATAGAGTATAGAGTATAGTGGAAACCCCTTTGCCTTCGTCGAAGACATCACAGTTGTAGCTATCTTTGTCTAGTAAATGCCTTAATTAACCCATCTAGTTGACTTTGATTTTTAATTAACTTTATAAAGAACTTCCAGATACATAGCTATAAAACACGCCAGAATAACAACTACTACCTCCAACGCCCAACGTACAAATTGGAGAATATCGCTCAGTGTCGGAATGGAAATGAATCTATTACTTTTCAATTCTAACCAAACTAAAACATTTTATTCAATGGGTGATCCCAGCTATTAGACTAAATTTTGATCTAGCCTTCCAGGCAAGAAGAACGAAATCCAACACCACAGCTCGAAAGAGCATCTTAGAATGAGTAAAACTGCAAAGATTGGTTGCGAAATGTTGTAAAATGAAGAGAACTATAGCCTGCGAGTTCGCAAATTTTGTATATATTTGTATTACGCGCGGTATTAAAAGTAACCACTTTCGGCTCACGCTGAACTTTTTATCCGGTCTCCACTTCGTCATATAATGATAATGTATTTCTTTTGGGTTAGGGTGGAAAAAATTACCTAACTAATATAATTTTTCTACCAATCCGCGGAGGAGACAAGTTTTGCACTTACAGTAATTTTCTCGGAAATAGACGAAAAATTCCGAGGAGCGACAAATTCCGACTTCCGTTTTCGAGCCGGAGGACGTTGTAGGATGCACACAATTTTAATAACTGCAGGATTATGAAGAAAAGGTGAAATAAATCTTCAAAATGAGCGGGTTTACATCGTTGTTGCTGAACATTAGCAAAGAAATTGAAAGGGGGGAGCTCGAAACTATGAAATTCTGTTGTAGAGACTACGGAATCGGCGCCAAACGTCTTGAAGAAATCACCGGAGCTCACGAGTTATTCAAAGAGCTCATGAAACGAGAGTTGTTAGGGGCAGAAAATAAAGAAATTTTGGTTGAACTTTTGGAAAAAGCTGATCGGATTGATCTTAAGAATCAAGTACTGAGCATTCAAGGTAATATAGGTCAATTTTTTATATTATTTAACATGTAGACTATTTAATATAAACACATCAAAATGTATTCTACTATAAAGCATTTAACACTAGCTTTTTTTCAGTTCGAATTCTAATAAATAGTTTGTGTTCTAAATTTTGCAGGTTCTGCCAGAGTTGACTCTCATTCTTCAGGTACAAAGAGTTTATCATTAATATAACATCAATTTCAAATTTTGTGTATAGTGATTGTTTTCTATTAATTGTTACTTTAATTCTGTTAATTGATTATAATTAATATTAACCTGTAAGCCTGGTTTAAAAGAGGTCAATGGGGTATGTCCTGATTGCTCAATTTACCGAATTTTTTTTACTGATTTAATGATTTTTTACTGTTTAAAGACCCTCCAGACCCTCTTAAAATTGTTATCGTATTGTTGTAGCGTGATTTCATTGGGTCGCTCCAGAAAAGATCCATACTCCCCCCACGGAGGAAATTTCTGCCGTCCGGAGGGGGCGGGGAGAAAAAATTGTTTCTGATAATAGTAAATGTATTAGGACATCCGAAGGGGGTAGGGGGGTTAACTTCCTATTTCCTCCGTGGGAGTGGTATGGATGTTTTGTGGAATGACCCATTTACTTGATGGCACAAATCTATCATATTAGGATTTTTGTCAAGCCTTTGTAAAATAATTATTCCAAATTCTAAGGTTATACCACGAGACCCTGGGAACGAGATTGAGGTTATACTTGTATAGCTGGATAACATGTGTGATATATTTATTTGCTAATTTAGTCACAGATGACCCTGTTGCCAATGGCATTTTAAAAGACGCACACCTAAATGAGATCGCAGAGGACCTTGGCAGAGATTGGAAACAGCTCGGTAGGAAGTTAGATATTCCATCTAGCATTCTTGGTAACATCGACGAGGAACACCGCAGGGTTAGAGAGAAAGCTGTTGAGATGATGTTGCGATGGAAAAAACGAAATGGAAATAATGCGACAGGGCAAGTTTTGGCTGATGCACTCATAAAGATTGGCCGAAAAGATGTGGCTGAAACATTAGCAAGTATGGCCTGAAATTTTGTTTTGCTATTAAACTATTTGTTTCCCTTAACAAGTAAAATTATTTGCCATTAAAAAATAGAGTAAAGGGGTTCTGTAATTATCGACACTTTCACAAATGTACAGAGAGTACTTTTATTTCAAACCCCCTTCAAGCAAAAAGTCTCTCCCTTGATGAGTAAAATAAATTAGCATTGACATTTCACTCAGTTAGCCCCTTAAGTGGCAATGTGCCCTACTTTGTTATTTTACTCAGTCTAATCCACTCTTTCTAACACCAGATGATTTTACTCGTGAAGGTGAGAGTGCTGCCACTCAATGAGTAAAAGGGTGTGGTTGATAGAAGGGGTGCACACCTTCCAGGTAGATGTTGTATATGTAAATCGTTACATTTTGTTTCACATAGGTGCCTGTCAACAAGATGGTATCAATATTGACACTAGCGAGGGAAGACGACAAGGTTCATCAGTCCGTGAAAGTAGCAGAACAGAATCAGGTACAAAGTTTTTATGGTAATTTATACAAAATTTGAGAATGGCATACTTGAAGTAGCAAATAATGTAAATTGTTGAAAATGGGGACTAGCAAGGGGCCAGCCCCCAGTAGAAGTGGTGAGTAAGCCCCTCACATACCCGCCTACTCGAGAGTTGGAGAATTTAATAGAAGCTAGGTACCAGATTCTGCACTGCCTGAAATGTAAAATGAACAATTAGTGACATAGTTTCTTCTGCATGTCAAATCTCCCCCAAAATGCAGGAAATGCAATTTTAGAAGCTCCAAATTTCAGCAATAAACAAAGCATGGTATAAATCCTAAAACATTTTGAAATTAATCTAAGAACATTTCATTGACATAGGAGGCGTAAATAGCATGCGGGCTGATTTGGAACCAAAACTACCAACGCAAGAGTCTAAAAGACGATAAGATAAGGAAAGTATTGATATGAACTGATTGCTACAGTACATTTTAGCTTTTTCATTTTTATATCCAAAATTGATAGGCATTTTAACAATTTTAAGCCAGACAATTTATAATAGTTAGGAACAAGTTGTTTGATATGTGGTATTTAATAGCCTTCAAAAGTATGTAAAAAGTCGCCAAAATGCGAAATTATTTCAGATGTCTCCCAGTTTACTGTGCTCGACACTGGGACGAATTTGGGCAGATAGAAAAATATTCGTGACTTCTATGTGTATATAATGCTAAAAATATCTGCCTAATTTATGTACTCGGACAAACTTGTCCTGTTGTATTTTGTGATATGTTACATGTAAGATAGGACATGTATGAAATAAATCTATGAATTTATAACTATAAGGGTAAATATACTGAGGTGATGCCAGTGCAGTGTGCGATAATTCGCGTTACGCCAATATTACGATTTACGATCTGGTAATTCTTTGGCTTTGCCTTTCAAACGCGTACCGCGTAGGTGCGCGGAACTCTTGCTATCTTCGACTTCATACTTACTTTTTTTCTGGTACCACATGAACTTTCCAAGCCCAAGGTATTCAATACCATAATTTAGTTGGTATATCATGTGTCTGAGATGTCTTGGCATGAAACATGATTGTACTGATGGCGCTAAGAAACGTTGGAGTTGATTGTTTGTCTGTGCAATTGTGCTTCTTTTTCTACCTCGTAGTCGGAACATACTTTTCAGACACCTGTGCTTTATGAACCTTATTTTAAAGACTAAGTACACATTGAGTACTGAGTTAGTGCAAGTACGCGGCAACAACCATTGGAGTACTAGTCAGGTACGATTAAAAATATTAAATTATCGCTGGCAACTGCTCCTGGTAATAGGTCGAATAAATGTATACAATTTACACTTAATTTTTCAATCTACAAAACCCTTGTACTGTGAATTTATAATTTTACAAATCTAAACTTCAGACTAAGCATTTATTAAAGCAGTATTAGGCAGGCCTTAAAATATCGGTCGGTCACGGACATTATCCGACCCATTCGTGAAATTGTCCGACGTAGAGAGGAAACCACCGGACGTTTTGTCCGACCTAAGTGCAACTGAGGTTTATTGTTTGTCCGACCCGAGTGTATTGGTGTCCGATCGAACTGTAGCTTTGTCCGACGTAAGTCAAAATCACCCCATTCCAGGACTAGAGGCGGACGTCGAACGCGGACCGGTTAGCGAAGTAGTCAAATGGAAAACGGGCTTAAGTTGTCGAATTCTTACTACTGAGTACTGTTATTGGCAAGCAAGTTAATTTTGGTTTGGAAATAAGTATGAATGGCACAAATTATTTAAAATCTTAACATTTAACGTTAATGATTAATACATTGTGCTGATGTTAATTTGTGTCATTCAGAATTTTTTTCGGAGCCAAACTGAACTGAAGGTCATCGGACATCATCATACATATATGTACGATTTAAAGTCATCGGACATTTTGTCTGACGGCCATGTGGAACTCAGTAGAAGATATTTTAAGGCTTGGTATTAGCACATGACAAGCACCATCCTTCTTACCTCACATGATGTCATATTTAGTTCACGCGCTGTGAAACTCGTTATGAAGCTGGGAAAACTTGTTTGCCTGGAATCTCTAAGCTCTCTAGCCTGCGTCACAGACGCTCGTGGCTCTCTCATTGGTCGAGAGAAAATGACAACAACCAGGGAAATCCTCGATGAATGTGCAAATTTAGCATAAAGTGTGATGTAAAGCTCGCAATTTATTCTTTTTAAATTGTGACTTTGTTCAAAGACAGCTTACAGCGAAGCGTTGCTTCTTTGCTACGGTAAAATATGAAAGTGATAAAATATATACAGTCCGTTCTACAAGCTTTTCGCCGGCGAGACCACATCGAGAATACAAGAACGGATACTGGATTGAATTATATAAATATATCTCTTCTCCACGAAGAAAAAACAATATATTTGGACACTGTCAGCTGGTTTTGGGGAAATCTATCAAACGGACAAGCAGAGTATTTGCTTCGAGATACACAAGACGGCACATTCGTCGTACGGCACAGCGCAGACGAGACGTCTTTGTATTGTATTACATATAAGCTAGACGGAGTTGTCGCGAGCGTTCGGGTATATGAAAATGATGGACAACTATCGATAAATTTCGACGATCCTTTGCAAATCCGTGCCGCGACGCTACACGGACTTATCGCTAAACTTGTGCGGTTATCAGCTAACGGAGGATTTGTGTGCAAACTAGAGCGTTCGTCTAAAGTTTTGTCGCTACAGTTGACCCGGCCTGTTAACAGACTCTCGAGCTTGCGCGCACATTGCAAGCGGGTTATTCGAATGTCGATGCCACTTGAAACGATGAATGCGTTGGTGCTTCCAAAGCACGTCAAATCTTTTCTATTGGGATCTGCGTTCAGCTGATGTCGAAGAGTTAAACTTGGTTATTTTATAGTTTATTGGTCGTGGACTTGAAGTTTGACAGTACAACAATATCACCAATATGTGATTTCGTTTGCTTGCTGTTCAAGTGATATTCTTGGTTATATTTCGTAGTGTATTGATGAGTATTTATTTGTTCATAGACATAGTATGAGCATGGTTATTTCCCATGGATTTGCGCGTTAAAACGTTAAGGATATACAGACTCTGTGTGATCCAGTAATTGAAGAACATAGTTATCATGATACCGATTTTGACAATATCAAAATGGTATATAAAAAGTAGAATTGCATTTATACTATTTATAATATGGTGGTAAATATTTATAATATGGTGATAAATTATTTTTATGTTTGTATGGTTATGTTATAATAGAATTTAATTCTTATACATTTTTTGGTTTGATCATTTGTTGATTTGCATAATAGGCCTATACGCTAGATGAAACACTTTGCATGCACAGAAACCATTTTTCTACTTCAATAAATACATTCCTAGCTTCCTGCACTAGCAAATTCAACACAGCGAATTGATCTGCTGAACAGACATATAAAATGTCTTTTGTCACAGTAGATGGATTAGAACTTCAAATTTCGAGCCCCTGGTTTGTGTCTGAACTAGTATGGTTAGTATGCGGCAAATTGTAAATAGGTAGTATTCTAGTTCCACCGACTGCTTGTGTTTTTGTCAGAATGACGTAAAGAATGAAGGCCATTTGTTAGGAAGTTTGTGGGGTGAAAAGTTTAAATAGAAGTCTTTAAAATTGTCTTAAAAATGTGTTGTTTGATAAAGCGAGAAGAAAGGGTGGTGACTCGATTCCATTGCATCGTGTTTGCACAGCGTGAAAGTGTAGAAAATATCTCCTTTAATGGGCTTGTTTCTGCCTCGTCCCCAGTCGCTTGCTATCAAACAATTAATTAGGAAAAGACGAAAGTTAATGTCGTCCTTAGTTGCGGGCGTGCGCCTAAAGGCGTGCGTCTTTATCGGGCTTGCAGTGCACGCGCTGATCTATATATTGAATTGAATTGATTTAATAACTACTGACTTTGTAACCCAAAAAGGTTAAATTACACCAGTATTACATAAATTAAGAGGATAAGTTAAAATTACATAATAATTACATATTTAAGATTATTTACATTTCTAAAAACTTATTTACTGTTAATCTTTAATATACTTTGAGGTAAAAACGAATTCTTAAAACGTTCGGTTCTGCAAACATAATTATGATATTTACATATCGGTCTTAGATCATATCCAGATAAAACTGTTTGTGGTAAAAGATCTTTGAGATTTTCATTGTCAATATTCTTCTCAAAGAAATGTTCGCATAATTTTTCTCGTCGATCTCTCAGTGACGTGATGTTAGTCGTGATCAGCGCTTCGTCGTACTTTTGCGATGGGAGGATTATTCTCAACGCGCGTTTTTGTATTTTTTCAATATCGTCACATAAATATTGTTGGATATTGTAATGCCAGACCTGGCATGCGTACTCTAAAACAGGCCTAATAATGGTAGTATATACAGTAATTAACGTGTCAATACACGCGTTGGACCTTTTTAGCAGTCTTAGCATATAGAGCCTCTTGCTAGCTTTTTTAACTATGTTATTTATATGTTCATTCCACTTCATGTTATCTTGGACTGTGAGGCCAAGGATACGGGCAGATTTCTCTCGTTCAATATTAACTTTATCGACTGTTAAAGGGGGAAAGCAATGCTTCTTTCATTGCAAAATCAATAACCAGTTCTTTGCATTTTCCAATGTTTAATTTCATATTATTACTCGTAGTCCAATTATTGATGTAATTAACCAGTTCTTGAAGGTTGCTGTTACAATCTGGGCCAATGGTTTCGGTAGTGGTGGTGTCGTCAACGTATTTCCATCGGTCTTTCCAATCAGCGAGGAGGTCGTTTATCATGATTAGGAAGAGGATTGGGCCTAAAACAGTTCCCTGGGGTACTCCACCGTTGAGGATTTGCCATTCTGACACACAATGGGGCATTCTGACCCGTTGGCTTCGTTGAGTAAGAAAACTTCTTATCCAGTTTGTTATTAATGATGGAACGTCCATATCAGATAATTTACTGAGGAGGATGTTATGATCGATATGATCAAAAGCTTTGGAGAAGTCTAATAAAAAAATTCTCACAGCGTTTTTCGGCACATCAGTTTCGTTTAATAAGTGATGGAGAAGGCTCAATAATGCATGTGTTGTTGAAGAGTTTTTTAGAGATCCAAATTGCCGTTTATCGATCTTCTCACCAATCAACTCCATCAGCCAGTCTGCGACAAAACGTTCACACGTTTTTGACAAAGTGGCAGTAAGCGAGATGGGACGCAAGTCTTTAGTAATGTCCCTCAGCACCTTATTTTTAGGTACAGGGATGACGTCGGCTTTTTTCCATACCGCGGGAACAGACGCCTGTTGAAGGGAGGCGTTGAAGATTGAAGTAACAGGGGAAGACAGCAGGGGCGCATAATCTTTTAGGACCCAATTCGGTATTTCATCTGGACCAGCCGCTTTCGAGGATGATATTGAAGATAATTTATAATAAATGTCTTCTTCCCTAATAATGTACTCGGTTGGAATTGTAGTACAATCGCTTTGTAATTGGCTATCGGGGAAAGGGATAGGACTAAGGGGAGGAATATCTCGAGTAACGGATACGAAAGCCTCGTTAATTTTTTCAGCAAGTTGCTTTCCAGAGACGACTTGCTCTCCTAGGACAATACTTGAAAAAGATTTCTTCTTAGGGTAGCCAGCTATTTGTTTTACGGTGTCCCACCATTTCTTAGGATCAGGGTTACGTTTCAATTGTTTCAATTTATGTTCTAAGAATGCAGATTTAAGGTACTTACTTTCTCGATTGGCACGATTACGTAGTCGCCGGTACAATTTGTCATTTTTCTGAAAAAATGCCTTCTGTCTGCTTTTAATAAGTTCCTTGTATGAAGGTGTTATCCAAGGCTTATCTCGGTCGTGCATTTTAACTACTTTACATGGAAGGAAGTGGTCTAAGCCGGTATGAATAACATCCTGAAAAATTTCCAGTTTTTGTTCGCACGGTGCAGTATGATACAGGTTAGTCCAATTATAGTTCGTTAGCCATCTTCCAAATGCAACTTTGGCACCTCTGTTACCGGGTCTAATGTTTATTTTCTTGCATCCGTTCAATGATTTACATTTTTTTTAAATGCATAAAACGGAATTATGGTCGCTGAGTCCGATGGGTGCGATCACCTTAGGAGGGTCACATGTGTCTGACATATTAGTAAGAATAAGATCAAGGACAGCATCTTTCCTGGTTGGTTGTTTTACGATTTGTTTCAAAGTAAAATGTCTTAATAAAGATGAGACAGGACATCTGTTAAAATCTCCGAGTAAAAATATACCTGCATTTGGGTACTTACTGAGAGCGAGGTCAAGTGTTGAGCTGAGGTGATCTATAAACGCGGCGTTGTCGCTGGATGGAGGTTTATAGGCCACACAGACGATCAAACACGAGAAGCCTCGATTAAGTTTATAAGGTCGTACATAGATCCATAAGGTTTCAAAATTGATGTCATTAAATTCTGTTAGAATTTTGAACGGGATGTCTGATTTAATAAAAGCACAAACTCCACCGCCAAGTTTATCAATTCGATCACATCTTGCTATTGAATACCCGCGAATACAAACTGCTGCATCGTCGATTTTCTCATTTAACCATGTTTCGGTTATGAAGGCCATACTCACATCATATTGGTCAAGTATAATTTTTAATTCATCCACCTTTGGTAAAAGTGATCTTGTATTTGAGAGAAGGAATGTCAGTAAATTACTTTGGGCGCACTTTGGGCTTTGATATAGAGACGTGCTTTGATATAGGGATGGATTCTTGATTGGAATTTCAATTAGATTACGCGTTCCGCTACGGTTTCGTTTGCTAGTATTAGGAATATGTTCATTATAACACAGCGCTAGACTGCTGACCTTCGAATTCATGGTAAGATGTAATTCTTACTGGTATAGTGTTTCGTTCTGGTGTGATTATAGTGTTGTTACTAGCTGCGAGAGGGATCTCCAAGTTTATTGCAATGTGCGACGGACAAACTCCAGGTAATTCAACCAGTCTGCCTGCTGGCTGAATCGCGACCGAAAAAACGTATGCCGGTTCATCTTTCCTGTTTCATTCCTTTGAGTCTGGCGTGAGCGAGGCGCATGTGTCGAGTAATTAACAAGTAGGGGCAACCGTCCTATCCAATCAAGGGGTTCGGCCCCACTTCGAGATGTATGCATGGGGTTACTAACTGTCGCGTTAAGCGTTTCAACCAGAGGTAGGCGGGCCAACCATTTCAAAGATCCAGTCCCACTTGGTGCCGGCTGACTTTCGCCAGTATTAGCACAACTAAGGTTTGAAATATGTTGTACATTCTGTTTATTTCTTGGTTTTGGCTTCACACAACTGACGTTTGTACCTTCGATTTGCTGAGTAACGTGTTTGTTAGAATTAGGGTAGGCCTGGAGCGTTAACTTGTTATTTGGCTTGTTACTGCTAACAGAACAAAACTGGGCTACTCCGGGAGGGTTGGTATTTTGTTGGCAGATTACGGTTGACCGTAATTGAGCACAAGACTGATTTGAACCATGTTTACATATGGGAATCGTAGCAGTACTATCAATCTTGGTTGAGTTAGCTGTAGGTCCAACATTAATTGATTCAGAATTTGTAATTGGGACAGTATTATTGTCTGAAATGAAGTTACTTTTACTCTGATGGCTTTTGATTGAGTCTAGGTCGTGACGAATTTGCTCAATCGCTTGATTGTTAGACTGAACTTTGCTTAAAATATTTGATTCTGTGATTATAATGTTTAGTTTGAGACCTTCAATTTCGGTCGATAAACCACTAAGCGTGTATGTACACTGGTTATCTATCGCGTTTGTGGCATCAGCTATATTTAATCCGACATTGTTATGTACTTCGAAATCAGTTTGGGTAGTGGAATCGTGAAGATCCTTTCTGGCGAGAATTGCAGAAAATTTATTTAGTAATCTAGTTGTAGAATAACAAAGCTTGTTTACAATCACAAATACACCGTCAATTTTATCCTTAATCGCTTTTATTTCAGCTATAGGCTGGCTTGGGCATTCACTAGAATTAGTAATTTTGCCAATGTCACGCGATTCTCCTGTCGATGATTTTGGCTCGTCCGGTATTTTATGTGTAGTATCGCTTGGCGTGTTCAGAATACTTATCAATAATTTCTTTAAGGATTCACCGTCTTTCCCGCTGAACAGCAAAGAATTTTGCTTACCTGGGTGCCAAGTCATTGTCAGATCTAGGTCATTGCTTACAAACTGTTTAGATTTGCCACCGGGCGACCTCCAGCAACCAACCAAACCGACAACATTTTCGGTAAAATTCTTCAGAGATTTCAGATCATTTGACCACTTTATACGTGTACCATCATAGACTAAGTGTGTATTAATGTTTAGCAATTTTATTCTATATAGAGGAGCCTGCGGAGGAGGCAGGGCTTGTTTGTTTTTTTACCACAGAAGAATAGTTTACCCACGTCATTTATACTGCATGAGCATTGTTACTGTAACGGAAATTAGCCTGGCTTGCGTTCATGCATGCACGAAAATATGAGAATACACGTCATTTCCGAAAAAGGCCGTCCGGGTAGTCAACATGTTTTCCCCAGACCTAGTGTATATTAAGGCTATTAATACCGCAACAGGAAATTAAACTATAAACTTAACTTTACTGGTTAGCTCTATCAGTTCTAAACTGTTTTTACCTAAATTAATCACCCAGTCGGTCTATTTTGGCTTGTAATGATTTTGGTTGGATATCCCTTGACGTCCGTCTTGATATCCAATCAATTTTATTAGCCCCTCAAAGACTGTGTGACATTTTTCAAAATTCGAACTCAATAAATGATTACAACTTATGATTCGTTTTGCGAAAAGCTTTCTTCCTGATCCTGGACCTTTGTTTTTAGAAATCTGTCTTGGTTAAATATATTGGTTAGTTAGTATATAAGTTATAGCATGTTCGACATAATATAGTAATATTTAAATAAGTTTTAGTATATAAACTGTATGTGTTTTGTAATATTAGTACACCTCTTTTGGAAATCAGCTGTGTGTTGAAAAGATTAGTGTGCTTAAATAAAGTTGATCATAATCTTTAATTCATATTTATGCTGAATACTTCTATCAGTTCTAAACTGTTCTTCCTAGAGATTCGCTAAGAGCTAGTCCAATGTTTCTATACGAGAGGAAATCATTGCGCACGAATTTACTCGTTATATTTTTCTGCGGTATTACAATCTCACACTGGTATTACAAATGAATACTTTTGTACAATAATTAATTTTTTCCGACTATAAACATTCAGTTTTGTTTTGATCAAATTGCGCTCAAGTATGTCTTAAGCGCCTTTGGTATTGGCAAATCTTCAGTGTTGTTCTTTTCATATTTCAATCGGATTACACGGCGACAGTGTGCCTTCAGGCTGGAAATCCTCAAAACAGGATATATTAAACTCACTAAAATTGTTCCACGATCGCTTGGAATTTCACCTACGCTGCCATAAATTTTGCTTGCTTGCACAATTTTGAAAACCAACGCAAACAATGTCAGCGCTTTTGGTTGTTGCGGGTTTGAGAAATCCAAACTCAGTTCGCCGTTTTGATGTTGTACTTTAAAAATATAAACTTTCCTTTGCAGCTTCACTGCGATACTGTAATTCGGATTATGAATGTCGCCTTGAGTTTCTCTGAAACCCGTTACCAGAAAAGTCCTGTCTGTTGAAAATTGCATAAGGTAGCAAATCTGTGTCGGTTTTAGTTTACCCCAGAACCAAGAGACTGTCGACAGCAGAATGGATTCTTTCTCTCGAAATTCTTGCTCGAGTAATCTTGTTTCGGCTTCAGGCTGTGTTGCTATTGTTCTTTGACTATCGCATGACGCAGACAAAATCCTTTGTGTATTAAACTTGTGTTTCATCGTATCTTTAATTAAAATGCTTTCGGCTTCGTTCCATATTTTAAGCTAGTACTGTTGTAGACTCTTCCAGTGTGTTCCTGCAAGTGATTCCAGAACCAAAAATTGTGATATTCAGTAATGTTATTTGCATTCAATCTGTGCTTATCTGCCTGCTGTTTGCTAAGTATTGTCTGTCAAAAGAACAATGGCAATGCGTGAATATTTTAATGTCGTGTATTCTAGCAAAGGTCTCGGAGGTCATGTGCCCGAAATATTTTCTTTGAAATTCGATATTATGGCCGTTGCCATGGAAAGTAGTGGGAAAGTCCACGTTTATTATTTAGCAAAGAAAGCTTTACTATGAGCAAATAAATATGCATGGTGTTTGGTTTTTTACACGAAACAAATCAACAACACACATGTGGAAAGAGTGGTAACTTATTAACTTGAAATGGGGTACGCCTAAGCGTACCTATTTTTAAATGAATGTCAATATACCCGCAACACCTGTCAAGTTTTGGGCCGCTGCCCGCTAAATTAACACAAAAATTTATATCAATTTGTAACTATAGTGTTTAGAGATAATGTACAGTTAATATATGCATAATAGATTAGTATGGATAGTTAGGTATAAATATGGATCGTAGAAGTCGGCCATATTGATTATTGTACTTCAGTAACACATGTACAAGTTAGTAAGTTTTTCTGGTTGAAATATAAATCTCTTATAAGAAAGAGACACTAAATTGGCGACGAGGATGGTCAAGGAACAATATTTAGTTACAAAATAATGCCATAAAGTTGAAAGAGTTAGTGGATGGACAAGGATTAAATTCGAGGAAAAAAAAATTCATCTACATCGACTTTGTTAAATATGGCGGTTTTCAAAGCCTTTCATGGCGGAATACCAACGTTTGACCCAAAAGGTGAGCCCACCAGTATAGCTCCGAGGGGGAGAAGGTGGAAAAGAGCATTCGAACTCTTTGTTGTCGGAAAAGGAATTACCGACAAGACACAAAAACGAGCTTTGATGTTACATTGTGCTGGTATGGATGTACAGGATATTTTTGATACTTTACCAGATAATGGCAATGCTAATGATTATGATAAGGCGATCGAAGCGTTGGATACATATTTCAACCCTGCTGTTAATGTACCGTATGAAAGACATATGTTTCGCCGAATGAGTCAAGAAGAAAGTGAGACAATTGACCAATTTGTAACAAGGCTGAAACAGAAAGCGTTGAGTTGTGATTATGGGGAATCTAGTGATGAATTCATCCGAGATCAAGTCATCGACAAATGTCGTTCAGTGGCACTACGAAGAAAATTGCTTGAAAGAGGACAAACTTTAACACTTAAGCAGCTTCAAGAAATCTCAAGAGCACATGAAGCTTCATATTTTCAAGCTAATAAAATTAATGATGACGCAGGACATGAAGTCAAGAAAGAAAATATCAATTGAATCAAAGGGAAGTTTCAAAGTAAATTTAAATCACCCAACAAATGTTTCAGATGTGGCAAAACAGACCACTTTGCCAAGTCACCAAAGTGTCCAGCAAAATCTGCTGAATGTCATAAGTGTCATAAGGAGGGACATTTTGCAAGTGTGTGTAGAACTAAAGTCAGTAATGAGAGGGACAATAAAAAGAAAATAAACTATACAAGAGAAGATCAGGAATCCAAAGAGGGTGACAATGAATATGCTTTTGTTGTTAATCATCAGTCGGATGAAAACAGTGGTTTAGTCGATATCAAAGTTGGAGGAGTGTTGTGCAATTTTCTTATTGACTCTGGTTCAACGTGTAATGTAATCGATAAATCCTGTTGGGAGAAACTTAAAGCCAAGCAAATAAAATGTAAGTCGGAGAAAACAGCAACACAGATTTATTCATATGGATCAAGTAAGCCACTTATTGTTGCTGGGAAATTTACAGCCGATGTTGTATGTCAAGGCAAAGAAGTAAAAGAAGCAGAATTCATAGTGATTGAAGGCACCGGTAAGCCATTACTGGGAAAGAAAACTGCTATTCAATTGAATGTCTTGAAGATTGGTCCACAACCTGTGATATCGGAAGGTGTCAACTCAGTCGAGGAT